TTTCAATGACAATGACAAAAGACCAAACGAAGAAAAGAAAGAAAAATTGAAACTTCAGATGAAGAAAAAATACGATAAAGGCAGATCCAGAACCCACTAATAGTTATGATACTTGGACTATTCGAGGTAAATAAAGGATTGAGAATAAATGATTCTAATGACCAGAATGAGACATCGATAGAAGGGGAAACAACAAATGAAGAAGAACAAGAACTATGAGAAGAAGAAGGTGGGGAATTTATATCCATCGAATGAACCATATACCAACAACCTCAATCAAGGCCAAAGCGTCCACGGCAAAAAGACTACATGTCTACTGTGAAAGATATGCCTGCTCAAGAGTCGAAGAATTGGGACAATGCAATGTTTTAAGAGATGAAGAACGTGGAGGCAATGAAAGTTTGGCAAGATGTACCGAGACGAGTAGGACAAAAAACAATGGGCATAGAGGTTAAGAAAAATAGAAGGGTAACCAATACAAGCTCGACTTGTTGCTGTTGGTTGCGGTCAGAAGCCAGGAATTACAATCTTTCATACAGCCCAGTGATAAAATATGCGTTCTTAAGAATGCTATTGGCAATGGCAATTAAAAGAAAATGAACGAGACATCATTACGATGTAAAATTACCTGAACTCATCTCGACAATCCGGTTTACTGAATTTGATAAAGTTAAAAACAATAAAGTTTTGAAAGAAGAAAAAGGTCTACCGCAATCAGGGAGATGTTGTTATGCAAAACAGCCAAATTTTGGAACAAAATGGTTTTGAGAAATTGAAATCTGATCATGTATTTTCATCAAAAGGGAAAACATCTTAATTATGGTTTATTTGGATGATTTCATACTGGGAAGCACAGATGTGGAAAATTAATTGAAATTGTGAAAAAGCCTGATAATTCTTTTATAGCAATCACCTGTGATTAAAATATCGTTGGCTTTTTTTGTCCTTACCGTTTTGTATGAGTGTTTTATCTGTGAACAAACAAGTTGCACGCACGTTAGTTCAAATTACTCTTGATAACAAAATTATCTCCTTGATTTCTGACTGTTTGAAAGCTATTTTACAACCTAAGCCAGGCGCTTTACAAGGCAAAGTTTGCCATCTAAGCAAATTTGTCAAATAATTAAAAAAAGAATAAAGAAACCTAGCAAGATTGTAAAAACTGTCATTAGAAATGCATCCAAGGCAAAGATTTTTATTTTAAGTATGAAGATCAAGCTTTTGAATAAAGTCAAAATCATATTTTTTCAGGTTAGAAGTAACAACCACTTTTTCACTCACGTACGCTCTGGATCAAGGTATAATCTTGAAGAAAAAAGCAAATTCAGTTAGTTGTTACTGCCAAGCTTTCAACCTATTTTAAGGTCATCATCAGTGCAAAACAATTTTAGATATGTACAGATTGACATAAGTTTTTTTAAGAAATCTCTTAGGGAAATTTGAGATCGCCTGTAGAAAAAAAAATTCTTCAAGACCATAAATTGATCCAGTGTTCGTGAAAATCATCTTTGCTTAGTAATTTTGTTTCTTTATACAAGAAACTTTTAATAAATCCCATAAACTGATAAAAACGTGGTCTTGTGTTGAACTTAAAAACGTTTACCCAAGATCGATAACGTTAAATTTTATTTTTCATTAAACAACCATTAGAACGGTTATCGTGTCTTTTAGGAAAGACCTTGCATCAGATTTTCCCGATATTAAATTAAATTAAGCAATCCGTGATTCGAGTAACATTGCTTCTTTTATGGGGAAAAAACAATTAAAAAATTTAATTTAACATTTACACTTTATCTGCGAGTTGTGATTACTTTTATGATTATATTTTTTCCTGCGTAAAAGAACAGATATGTTATATAAGGAACTATACCAGATAGATTTCTTTTTCCTTTTTTTAAAGAAACAGAACAAAAAAATAGTCGAGAGGATAAAATTACAGATCATCTAATAATTAAAAGACACAGAATCTCAAATTGAGGAAACCAACAAAAGAAAGAGTAAATTTAGCTGTACACAGTAATGAAGACGAAGAAGGAGAAAACATTTTAAAAAATTCGTATTTGTCACACTGAGGATACAGAAAATTTAATGGACTCTTATTACAAATAAAATTTACTAATATGAATTGAATGAATGAACGAATAACTAACTATTGACTTCATCAGCAATCGGGCTATAAAGGGAAACAATCCCTGAGTTAAAATGGTTAAATTTGTTCCTCAAAAATGAAAAAAAAAGTTCTTAAAAATACACCAGGATAAGGAATCCGCAAAGATTTTCCAAAGGAGGTTTTCAAATAGGGGAAAGAACTTAGCCAACAGAAGTTGACAGAAAGATTTTAAAGGTCCCATAATTGCAAAAAAGATAGAATCATCAGACTCAAATAAAACACCAACCATTGAAATGAATGGTTTAATACGTAAAACAAAACCATGGAAAATAATAAACTGATTGCAGGACGAGAAACACCAACAGCGTAATAGAACAATACAAACAAGAATCAGAGAACAATTTCAACGACCTTAAAGTGTAAAAAAATTGAACACTAGAACATTAAAAACTTAATTCGGAGGTACCAACGAAGGAAAACAGAAAGCACAGAGCAACAAAAACATCGACTTTAAAGTGGGAAACAATGAACCCTAGAACATTAATACTCTAGAGAATCTAGATGAGGAAATAAAATGGAATTATGGATTGTTTAGGAAAATTTCAAATTGGGACATTAGAATTATTATATTTTTTATGGAATAAAAACTGTTGGGATCAAGGGTGACTTGACAAAGATCATGTCGCACAGTTTACATTCGTTTATTAACAGAAGATTAGACAAGATTTACACGTGTTCAACCATAAGACTAAATTCACTAATATTTCGTGGTCCGCTTGACCAATTAATATCTTTCAATTAATTAAGGTTTTTAGTTGAGATAAAAAAGTCAATGGCACGAGCGGGATTCGAACCCAAGACATTCGGCCAGATACGCCGCTGCTCTACCACTTGAACTATCGTGACCTCAATCCCCTCGGACACTAACTTCCCATCTCAACTCCACCTTTTGAATTTTCCCTCCTTTTTGCCATTTTTCATCGAAGTCACGATAGCTCAAGTGGTAGAGAACTCTAATGGATTTAATAAGCAAAATGAAGTACACTTCACTAAAGCTCTCCGTGGCCATTTCATTTGTTGCCGAAAATCAAATAGATTACACGACATTTGAAAAATGGCAAAAAGGAGGGAAAACTTAAAAGGTGGGGTTGAGATAGAAAGTTAGTGTCCGAGTGGATCGAAGTCACAATAGCTCAAATGGTTGAGCTGCGGCGTATCTGGCCGAAGGTCGTGGGTTCGAATCCCGCTCGTGACACTGACTTTTTTATCTCAACTAAAAACCTTAATTAATTGAAAGATATTAATTGGTCAAGCGGACCATGAAACCTAATAGATTGTAATTAATAATTATTGCTTACCGAAGCGCAAGCCTCATAGGTTTTGCCCAATTACTTCCTAAATTCTCCAACAACTCCCCAAAAAGCTATTATTTTCCTCAACTATCTTTATAATTGTATATTCCACACTACCCATTCTCCTTTACTCTGGAAATATACGACACAATCCTGTTCCTGAGACCAGGCAAACCAGTTCAAAAAGTTTCATCGTATCGTCGAATTAAACATATCAAAATTATTTGAAAAAATTCTTCTTAAAAGACTGCTATCAAAATTAAATTCCTCTAACTTCTTTCAAATTATCAGTTTGGCTTTCAGTCTCAGCCATTCCACAGCCCAAGTTTTGCGTTGTAGACCGCATATCTTTCTTCTTTTCGTACAAAGAATATTGTATGGGAACCATTCTTGATGTGGCTCAAGCCGACTGCATTCCAAAGTTTCCAAATACCCTGTACTTAATCCTCCGCTCTTATGTGTCAGAACTGTTCTTTCGGGTCCGACAAGGATCAATTACTCGGACTATGCTCTTTGGCTGCAGGAGTACCGCAGGGCAGAGTGCTTGGTCCAATCGTTTATACCGACTATCCACCACTCGACATGCATCCTTTGCCGATGGCACAGGTTGCTTCGGAAGATCTTTTCGTGCTGGAGATCAATGAATCAATGCGTCCATGTCACATTTACTACGAAGCAAATCTCTTATAATCTACTACGACAATGTTCCTATTCACAAATCTGACTACGTGGGGTTCCTAGTCTCACGCTTGCCATATAGTACAGTCTGCTCTACAAATTTATTGGACAAATCCACGCTATCGTAAAAAAAAAACTCGCAACGCGCCAATACAACAGATTTGGGCATACAGTATAGAACCGCTAACATCCTTCAACGTCTCCAGTTCTTTCGGTTTAAAGATTTTGTAAATGCTCCTTATTGCGTCTCCACAACGATCTTAAAATCTGATTTAACCAAAAATTTCTCAAGTTCCACAACTCTCCCTTCACCGCAAGTCCAGCCCAAATCTTGTCCAACAGACCCCATACCTACAATCCATAAGGCGTCTCAAGAAGAAATGGCCCCGCGTCCTTCTTTCTGAAGAATAGGTAGTGAAGCTCTATTAGAGAAGTAAATGGAAGAGTATATTTATACATATGTCTAAGTATCCTCAAATTACATATTGTACTTAGAAATTTTCAGATTATAATGAAATATGTATAGAAAATCTTTTTTCATTCATCCATTCAATATAAACCAGAATTGAGAATGAGTTTCCTCTATCGGTATATTTGGGTATAATGATGGTAATGATCAATGCGATGAAAAGTGTACAGAAAAATGCAAGCATTAGATTAATTAAGTTAATTAATTAATTAAAAAATAATTAATTTTTTAAATGAGTTTATAGGGGACCTTTTTTTGTTTGACTGACGTTTTCCCAACAAAATAGCACTTTATATATTATTTCTTTGGTGAAAAATTGATTTTGAACAGGAAACAGTTGGACAAAGTTGGTCAGTCAATAAGTCAATAGTGGCTAAAGCCCGCCGCGAATGCAACCTCCCATAGAAGGCGGTCGTTATCAGTGGATCATTAGTGGTCAATTCTTTTCCGTCTCCCTTTGTTGCTGATCTGTTTGTTTACATTTGCTAAGTCTCTGTTTTGAAAATGACTCTCAATGTCGCCAATTATTTCGCTGGGTCTTTATCATCTTCAGTAGGTTTTCACTGAATTTTTTCCTCGATTCTATTACTGACAATTTAAATTCCAGGGCGAAGACGAGAGACCACTGCTGGAAAGTATGTCCCAAGGGGCGAGCACGGCTAATTTGGTGGAAGGAGGCACCAAATACCCCCAGTTTCTAGCTACATTTATAGGTATCTTGGACTTTACTTTAAAATGGATCTTAGCGAATAATCATCGCATATTACAGCCACGATTGGAGGTTTTTCGATGGGAACAATGCTTGCCTGGTCTTCTCCTGTTCAAGAGTGCATCGAAAGTGGAAAGTATGGATTTCCTACTTCAGTGCTTGAGTTCTCCCTTATTGGCGCTTTTCTCAGCATCGGTGCGATGGTGGGTGCTCTGGGCTGCAGTTCTGTGTGTAATTACATTGGAAGGAAGAAAACTATGATTTCGCTGGTGTGCCCTGCTGTTGTCGGTTCCGGGCTGATACTCTGGGCACAAAATGTATGTAATCGCTTTATCAGTTTGAAAGATTGCGTGACCGATTTTGAACTTTTAAGCCGCCGATGATGATGGCCGGACGTGTAATTGTAGGCATACCTGTCGGAGCTTACTCCATGGTGTGCCCTCTCTACACCAATGAAATCAGCCAGATTTCCATCCGAGGCATTTTGGGAATATTCTTTCAGCTCCAAGTCACAATTGGAATTTTATTCGTGTACATTTTAGGTTTGATTGTGAGTATTTTTATTTAAACCATTAGTCTATTAATTTTTTTGCTTAATTAAAATATGTCATTCAGCATGCTGGAAATATAGAAAAATTGAAAAACACTGTTTAGAAGATGTCCATGTAAGTCAAAGATGCCAAAGTCTTTTACGAATTAAACAATTTCCAAGTGGTGTCAGTTGTTCAGATGCTTTAATGTATTCATGTAGAGTATTACAAACCAACTCATTATTCTGCTAATTGTAGGTATGTTATTTTTTATTTTCTTCTAGAAAAACCCATTTCTACTTACATTAATCATCTCAGCATTTCCCATACTGCTGGCAGTTCTCATGTGTTTCATGCCAGAAACTCCTTACTATCTGTTAATGACAGGCAGGGAAAACGCTGCAAGAAACTCATTGCAATGGCTCCGTGGTGCAGACTACAATATCAACAGTGAATTGACTATGATGAAAGAGAATATTGACAAGGTTAGCTATAACATGTCTCCAACGCCAAGGTGGAACAAAATCAAATTTGTTTTTTTAACATCCTAGGCGAAGCAGGAAAGATCGAGTTTTAGAAAAGCATTTATGACACGAGCAGCCAAAAGAGGACTAATTATTGGTATTGGTGTTATGTTTCTGCAGCAGTTCAGCGGTATCAATGCTGTCATATTTTATACCAATAGCATTTTCAAGGTAAGGTTTTTTGAAGGTATTTTTAACGACGTGCAAAGAATTCAATATTCATTCTCATTCCTAAACCTCACAACCTCCTAACTGCATATACTCCAACATACCCATCAGCTATTCTTCCTATGATGTCTATAATTCTCTAAAGACTCCTTTTAAAACATTTAAAACCATCTCAGATTTACATAAAATCATTTCTTCTCACTCATTCAGCTTCTGTCTCCATCATTGCAAGATTCAGCAAGGTTTCCGAGTTGTTGGCACTCTTTCACTCTAGAGAACGATTGGGTGATTTCTTGCATATAGCACAAACTTTCGATAGGGCACCCAGACATCCTTTACAACAGTGGTTCTCAAAGTGGTCCCTCCGGACCCCCAGGGTCCCTGGTATCATTCAGGGGGTTCGTGGAAAATTAAAATTGATTTGGAAATCGTGAGATGTGATCTGGTGTGACATAGGTTTTAGAAAAACTTTTCTTTATCGTTCCAACATTTTGACCTTTAAATTCACTAATTTCGTGGTCCGCTTGACCAATTAATACATTACAATTAATTAAGGTTTTTAGTTGAGATAAAAAAGTCAGTGGCACGATAGCTCAGGTGGTAGAGCAGCGGCGTATCTAGCCGAAGATCGTGGGTTCGAATCCCGCTCGTGCCATTGACTTTTTTATCTCAACTAAATTAATTGTTTTGACCTTTATTGAGATCATCTTCAGGGCCTGGGATTTATAAATATTGTTTAAATTTTACATATAGGATGTGAAAAAGAAATGAATTTATATAGTGCTAAAATTTTTAGATTCAATCAAAGTATTTGTACTTACTCAAAGTGTTTGTTTTCTGTTTAGATGTGTAAACTTGTGTGTTGTGTTGAGAGTGCCAGTGAGATATTGATGTTTTAGGTTTATATATGAACCAAAGATTTGAAGACATTCTGCACTTGGATATTCCCAACTGGGTGTTGAACCCTTTTGCGCATGGACAAACTCAGTTCCCAAACAGATGAATCCATACTAATACAGTAGCAGCTTATTGAAATATCCACAAATTAGGAACTTAAACCAATGTTTGAACAAGGATACCACAAATTCTGGTTACAAAAACAGATCCCAATTTTATATCCTGGGTTATTGTGCAGAAATTGTTGACTGCTTTTCCATCTTCCTATTTGGTATTCAGTGCCGTTATGAATCACAAAAAATGAAATGAAACCAACTAGAAATTAGTGCTTGTGGAAATTTGCGGTTGCTACTCACATACATTGAGCTGGAAATATATACACTCATAATAACTCATCATTAAATTCACTAATTTTGTGGTCCGCTTGACCAATTAATATATTACAATTAATTAAGGTTTTTAAATTCACTAATTTTGTGGTCCGCTTGACCAATTAATATATTACAATTAATTAAGGTTTTTAGTTGAGATAAAAAAGTCATTGGCATGAGCAGGATTCGAACCCACGATCTTCGGCTAGATACGCCGCTGCTCTACCACTTGAGCTAACGTCCCATCTCAACCCCACCTTTTGAATTTTCCCTCCTTTTTTTGTGGGTTCTAATCCCGCTCGTGCCATTGACTTTTTTATCTCAACTAAAAACCTTAATTAATTGTAATATATTAATTGGTCAAGCGGACCACGAAATTAGTGAATTTAATGATTTAAACTGAAGTATACTTCACTAAAGCTCTCCGTGGCTATTTCATTTGTCGTCGAGAATCCAATCCGATTACACGTCATTCGAAAAATGGCAAAAAGGAGGGAAAATTCAAAAGGTGGGGTTGAGATGGGAAGTTAGCTCAAGTGGTAGAACAGCGGCGTATCTAGCCGAAGATCATGGGTTCGAATCCCGCTCGTGCCGTTCAGTTTTTTATCTCAACTAAAAACCTTAATTAATTGTAATAACTCATCATGTTCATCCAAGTCATTAATTTTTATATATTTTATTTTAAACAAAAGTAATTATTGTAATTATATAAATATTATAATAAATATAATTTATATATATTTATAATTTCAATAAATACTTCTTCACCAAAATGTTTTTTTTTTTAATTTGTAATTTTTATACTATGTATTTGTGATGCTTTTTCAATTGGGGGGTCTATGGGCAATTTTTGACTATAAAAAAGGGTCCACGGGTCCAAAAAGTTTGGGAACCACTGCTTTAGAAACTTAACACAGCAACTAACTGCTGCTAAATTCAGAGTGAGGTGCAGCAACAAATAGATATCAGACCAATACAATCGTGTCCCACAAGGGAACATTCTTGGTCCCGTACAATTTATACTGTTAACTTTATACATCTCATTACCAGCTTTGCAGATGGCCGCAATTCCTTCTTTTAGTCTCGCCCTCCACTTTACACCAACACATTCCACTTTCAGATATTTAGGACTATACCTAGAGAACAGACTGACTGGGAATCCTACACATATAACCACTTAATAGAAGACTGGTCAACTATGAAGACTTTTATAATCAAAATCTGTTTTAATTGTCAAAACCCAACTAACACTGCACAAATCATTATTGTGACCACTTTGGATGTATAGAGTGTGGTTTGACAGACCTCCAATATCCAGCATTTCTAATCATTCATCAAAGCTCCTTCACTATCCACAACGACCTCAACAAAACTTTTGTCGATGAACTGATCCGTTCAAGCTGTCAAAAGTACCATAACAAGCTTTCGATTCACTATTGTCGAAGACTTATTTACATTTCTCATCCAGAAAAGACACTATGTCGTCTTAAATGACACTACGCTTGAGACCTCCCCACCTATCAATTTCATTGAATTGATCCTCTGACGCTTCTAAAAGTTCAACATCGAGCTTACAATCCATTTTAACCCTACTGCCGAAGCCCTATATACACTTTCATCCCGAGAAACCACCGTTATTCAAAAATTCTTAAGGCCATAATTACAATATTTTGTATTTAGATTTTTAATACTAATAGTACTTTTATTTTAGCAAATGGTTATTTATTTATTGTGTAATTATTGTTTTTGTTTTAGTCTGCTGGTTCAACATTAGATGATTCGATCTCTTCAATTATTGTGGGATTCATGAGTGTTGTCGCGACAGCAATTGCAACTTTATTTATTGAAAGACTGGGAAGAAAACCTCTTATGTTTATATCATGTCTTGTAATGGCATTGTCATCCGCTGTACTCGGAATCTATTTCTACATTCAGACAGTAAATCACGAGCTGGCTGAAAAGATTTCGTTTATCCCCTTGATCATCGTGTGCGTATTCATAATCGTGTTTTCGCTCGGTCTTGGGCCAATACCGTGGGTGATACTCGCTGAAATCTTCCCTTCAAACATCAAAGGGATAGCATCGTCGATTTCATGTCTGACAAACTGGATGTTCGCGTTTATTGTAATCCTGTCGTTCCAGTCAGTCAAGGTGGCCATTGGTGAAGATTGGACTTTTTGGATTTTTTCCTCCATCATGATCCTCGGCTGCATCTTTGTCATTTTCGTAATTCCAGAAACAAAAGGAAAAAGTATAGATGTGGTTCAGAAGGAACTCGGTGGCGCTGATATTTCTACGAACCACTCACAGAACAACAGAACGGATTCTGGAAGGAGAAAATTCTAAAGTGACAGCAATAAAGTCAAAACTGCTGTGCAAACAATTTTTTTCTCTAAAAAAACTTTCTTATGCTATTTATTTTGAATGAGGAAACTTAGTGCCAAAAATGTGTAATAAGGATGTTTATATGCTCATTGTTATCATATCGTGTAAAGTGTTAACTGGATGTTTTCAATTGTGAAGCTCGGTATAGGTTTTAAGCATTTTTTAATTGTCAATTAAGTAAATAATAATTGTCACAATTAAGATTTTAAATTTAATACTGAATTGACTGCAATTTTTAGCTTATTGATATTTAATTTATAAATATAGTCCAACATTAAAAATTTAAATTAATTTTAAAATATTGACAAAAATAACTGTTTGCAATGAATTTTTTTTTCATTAATTTTGTTATGACTTGCAATGAGACAAAATCTTGTGATATTTTGGTATTTATTTTGTTCATTCATGATTCATAATTGTTATATTTTTTATTTTGGATTAAACTGTATATTTTGTAATATGTGCGTTAAAATATCCAAACGCAACAATTTTAATAATTTTACAATCATTATTGATACAATTTAAATTGTAAATAACTAAATAAATATCGGTTAACATTACAATTGAATAAACTCTTTCCCAGAAAAATTATTTTAGTTTATTTACATGAATGTTATTCTGTCATAAAAACTAGAGATTGTGATATTGTTTTGGTGTATTGTCAAATTGATTGTCATTAATAATTATTATATTTTAAATTATGTAAATCTTTTATAAATTTATTTATTTATTTTTTCCAATTTTAAACAAAAAGGAAGGGATGGATAAAAATTTAATTTGTAAATGAAAAAAATAAAAAATGGTAATGAATTAACTTTATTTCAGAAATGAATATCCGGTTTTTGTTAAATGGATATTTTTATGATTAAAACAATGTGATATTATTTTCTTGTATATATTGTTTATTTATTTATGTTTATTTATATAAATAAATTGGTTTATTTAATTTGAATTATTTTTGTCAAATTTGGTTTTCGATGTTTTTTTTTTCAAGAAAAATGCAAAAAACCCCAAAAAATCTAAAAACATTTTATTGTCTTTTTTGATGGAAAAGGCTCGTAGGAAAAGGGTTTTTTTTAAAGAAAAACGCAAAAAATCGAAAAAAATTGTATTGTCTTTTTCGATGTAAAAGGCTCATAGTACTTTTTTTTTTTCAAGAAAAACGCAAAAAAAAACCCAAAAAATGGAAAAATTTGTCATTGTCTTTTTTGATGTAAAAGGCTCGTAGGGCACACTTTTTTTTCCAAGAAAAACCCCCAAAAATAGAAAAAAAATGTATTGTCTTTTTTGATGTAAAATTTATACTCACTTTTTTTTCAAGAAAACCCCCCCAAAAAATTGACATTTTTATAATTATTCGATGAAAAAGGCTTGTAGGACTTTTTTTTTCCAAGAAAACCCCCAAAAAAATTTTTTATTTTTTCGATGTAAAAGGCTCATAGGACACGTTTTTTTCAAGAAAAATGCAACCCCCCCCCCAAAAAAAAATGTATTGTCTTTTTTTATGTAAAATTTACACTCATAGGACACGTTTTTTAATGTTTTTTTCAAGGAAAACCCCCAAAAAATTGAATTTTTTAATTATTCAATGAAAAAGGCTTGTAGGACACTTTTTTCCCAAGAAAACCCCCCAAAAAAATTTTTTATTTTTTCGATGTAAAAGGCTCATAGGACAAGTTTTTTTCAAGAAAAATGCAAACCCCCCCTAAAATATATATATATATATATCACTTTAAATCAACTTTCATACTTAAATCATTAAATCTAAAATANTATATATATATTGCCTTTTTTGATGTAAAATTTACACTTGGACATGTTTTTTCAAGAAAAACGCAAAAAAAACCAAAAAATTGTTATTGTCTTTTTCGATGTAAAAGGCTTGTAGGACACTTTTTTTTCAAGAAAAACAAAAAAAAAAAAACTCCAAAAAATTGAAATTTTTTTTATTGTCTTTCGATGTAAAAGGCTCCGTAGGACACATTTTTTTAAAAAGTAAAACGCAAAAAACCCCAAACAATCGGAAAAAATTTTATTGTCTTTTTCGATGTAAAAGGCTCATAGGACACGTAAATTTGCCCATACATGATTTTTTAAATAACTATATTTCGTAACATAACAATAAGGATGTTTACTGAAAAAAATGACACAATTAAATAAAATGAAAATATTTTGCTTTACATCAAGCTACAATGGCCTCTGTAGTATTTTGTAACATTATGCCCATGGTAATGCGGTTCCATGAGTGCCAGGGGTTATCGAGGTGGTGTATAGATTCCAAAAATAAATAAATAAAAATAAAATTGGTTGGAATTACTTAAACTCAAACAATATTCTGAAACTACATAAATTCATACATTTTTTAAACTGCCTACTACCATTAACTCATCCTCCTTATGCCATTTGGCTATGTTACATTTTAGCAACATCTTTTTAAACCTACCTTGACATACCTTCTTTTTTTTTATCTACCTACTTCGGCACAGTTCAATCATTTGTTTTCTTCCCCTTCAGACCAGCTGTTGCCATTAATAATGCGATATAACGAGAATGTCAGAAGAGAGAATGAGTCAATATGGGCTGTAATTTTAAAGATTCAGATCAGTCAATGGATTAAAGACCAATAGAAATAGTATTGGAAGGCATACAAGGGTTTTAAAAATAAATAAGAAATTGAAAACTTGAAAATGGTCATTTTTATTGACTCATCCCAATAGATTAATCTTTATTTGATAAATATTAAATAATTTCTTTTTGCCAAATGTTCACATTGCCTGTAGAAAATTATCTAGAATTATTCACAGATGAACCGATGTGTTTTAGAAGAAAATCCCCCTCATTCTTCTCCCCATTCCTTGTCTATCGTATAAAAGATTAAATTTGTTAACTAATTGGTTCATATCGTTACATCCTTTTGTTATCGTCCCGAGGTAGGTCATAAGTCCTACATCATTACATTGCTGAAATATCAAAAACGGTTATTACACTCAGAATAAGACAACACGTATTAATGATAATTACATTGTAGAAATCTGTGTGGAATCGTGGGCTCTGGACAACGGGCAGTCTATGACTCAACGAGTAGGCTTCTCTAAGTACGTCATGGTTTCTAGGCAGCTGTCCTGACTCGACTGCTCTAAGGTATTCAAGGACAAGTTTGACTCGAGAGTGTAGCATTTTTATGGCTGAATGTTGGGCACTCAAATGTTCAGCAACTACAAAATAATTCATTTTCTATTTAAATTATAATAATCCATATTTGATAATTAGAAAATTCAAAGGGATTGTTAACATATTGACTAATGTTCACTTCTTGTGATACGAGAACTTGTAGTTTGATAATTCCATTGGTCTATCAGAAACATTTCACCTCATTGCCATATTCAATGCATGGCATCAAGGATATAAGGCAAGGAGAGGTAAGCACAAAAACCCACCATAGAAAATGGCAAGTAGCTGAAATCCGCCTGATTGACCAAAATTATCAAACACAAATAAAGCCTTTTATAATATATGGTTAGGGATGGTATATATATTAACAAGGGCATAAAAGTCAATTTTTAATTTATTCTCATACTAACAATAAATAAGTTGTAAGTGTATTACCTAAAGAGCTTTCACTAGCATCATTGCTCGACATTCTTGCTACATGGTCGACTCCAATTCTCTCGGCTTCTTCAGTCGCCAATGTGTAATGCAGCTCGACAAAGAGCATGGTAGCCTCGCCATCAACCAAATCGATAACCGATTCGTATAGGGTAACTGGTAGATCTGAATGCCTTGCCTGGGGGTTGAGCTTTAAGAAAACTGGACTTTCGTTTATTTCACAGATTTGCTTATGCACTTTGATATCGCTGTCTTCCGGGCCTTCGCCAGTTGTGTACCAACCCAGGAAGTCCAGTTCGGAAAAAACTTGTTTAACTAGAAAATAATAAAATAAATATTATTTTCATACTAAAGTATATTATATTTTAAAGTAGTTAAGAAAACTTACATTGTTCTTCTTTTGTGTTGTAGTATTCTCTGTCTATTATTATATCATTTCCAATTTTTGAAAACATGAGTTCAAATGAATTCATTAATTCTATATTCCTTCCCTTCTGTTTTCCAATTAGAGCTCCAATTACTAGAAAGGAAACTTGATTATTAAAATAAAATATTAATAATTACCAACTGCAAAACCAATTGCAATTGTACAGTATGTTTAAGTTTTAAATTTTTAACAAATTAATAATGGTATTACAGTGTCTGCAATATTTTATAGGTGGCATTGATTCTGAATTTAGCCCAAAGATTAATTTACTTCTAGTTAGAGACCTGTGACTTACGTTGAGCAGATCAGCATTTGCCTTCCCATCACTGAAATTCCTCTGTTACCCTCCTTCCATCCACCACCAGTTGGTCCATGTTAATACAGCATCTAGCTTGGTTATTTTTTCTTATGTCAACATAGAAACAACATTCTCCTTCTTTCTAAGGGTAGGTCATGTTTACAAAATATCCAGATCCTTTAAGTTTATTTTTACTGCTCAAAACCTCTCTTACTGAGCCTTTGACTTTTTTCTGATGTAAAAACTTTAATTTTTCCTTGCACATTAATGCCTAACACCTCTGTACATAACTGTTCCACATCTTGAGATGTATTTATTCTATTTGGCCATCTTTAATATTATTTTTTCTAACGTGACATTCTAAAAGATCGAGCCTCCTGTTTTTTTTAAATTTTTTTTTTAAATTATATTTTGGTTCTCCTTTTTTAGAACTTTCCATTTTTTTGGTTTCATCTCTGATTTTTTTCTCTTTTTAAGTCTTTAATATAGTTCTTTAGTTTGTTAATGTTCTCCTTTTTTAGACAAGTTCATTGGTTCAATAGCTCCATTTTTTGGTCAAATCCTGATTCTCCATTACTTTCTCAATTTTTTTTTTGGCAGTGTTTTGGCAAGACTAAGATATGATCTCGTTAGTTTAGGTATAGGTTTTCTGCTTTCTTGTGTGTAAGAGCTTTTAAATTAGTACATCTCTCATTGATTTTAACATTAAACGTCGATACAAAAATAAACAAGTAATAATTTAAGTAGACAGGATTTGCGACCCCTCTGCTAAAGTTCAACGTGAAAATCAACATTTATACCATGTTTTAACAGTTACAGACACAGACACTATCTTAACTCAGTCACTTCATTAATCAAAACTAATTGTATGCAATATTTTTAAATAAATTATTGCATAGAAAAGAGGAAAAACTAGTTTTCATGCAAATTTTAATGACAAATTGTTTCTGTTCCCTTTTGTTATTAACATTAAGCACAAACTGACTTATACTAAGTCTCATATCAGTCCTACTCCGTTTAATTGCTGTGTCGTGCATAAATAAAAAAAAAGTGATAAGGCATATGAACACCATCATCATCCCTGTTAATGTGACCACCACTTCAACTTGTCAATCAATGACTTAAAACACTGGTAGTGTACTTATCTATGTACACTTTCCATTTAAACTGGAAGTGTTATATTTTAACTTCTTTTTCTTTCTGAGCGTTGTTGTTAATATCGAAAGTTACACATAAGTAGCAATGTCACGGGCCACAAAACCAGATTCCTCTCTGTTAAAAGGGGATTTTTATCACCTAAAAATTTCAAGAAAACACAGGAACCAAAAATTAAATAAAAGAAAACAAGAAAGCCCTCACCATAAATTTATTAAGAAAAATAAAACCAACAAAAATAAAACTCTCTCCTTTCTATAAAAATCAAACTCAAAATTAATAAAAATTGAAAATAATTTGACCAGCCTTATTAGATGATTTCAGCTGTTGTTTGCCCAACCATGTCTTGATTACATCTGCCTCTCGGGGCTTATTGTTTTTCTTACCGCCCCCACAACCACGCCTCAGCCTCCCGGCACAGAACGTTTCATCCTGTCGCCCAAAAGTGCATTTTCGTACATAGCATACATAGAAAAACACCTCTTATATGTCAATTCATTTATTCTTACGAACTAATTGCACTAATTAAAATTTAAAAATTTTAGTTGAAGTTATCCTATTAATAACAGATCTAATCATACAAACGCAAATATTCAAGGAATAATAATGTTAACCATTAATTATTAAAAAAAATAAAAGTAAATAAAACCTCAAGGAATCATTGCAAGCACATTACAAACTATGGTAATCAATGCATTAAATTTACCCAATACTAACAGGAATAAGAGTAAGAATGTGAAGAAAATCTAAAACCCAGGACTTGGTTTATTTCAAATTGTAAGAGCCGGTGTAAAAATCCAGTGAGCTAATCATTATTTTAGCATGAGTAGAAATAAAATGTAATAAAACAAAAATGACCATTTATTATTTTTTTTCCGCTTAAGGAATGAGGTTGTTCCAAAAGGTTAAAAGTCTGTAAAGGTTGAGTCTATCCATTTTAAAAATACTTTGATTTGGTTTGTCGATTCAAAACTTTTTTTTCTTTTAACAAAGCCTGGTTCTGCTGAGAGACTAATCCTTGGATTTTTCTTGATCAAGAGCACTGTTGATAGGTGGCCCTCGATAAACCAGACTTATAGAAGAAGGGTCATCCTCATCCCATTAAGAATAGGCCATGCGAGGTTTACACAGAGACATTTATTTGGGTCAAAGCCTGTGTATGTTTCCGGCATGTATTGAAAGGTTGCTCGAGTGCAATTCCTTGGCTACATACAGTGCATAGGAATGCCACCCATCATTAGAATCATGCTTGAGCACGGCAGTGAGTGAATATGGAAATAAGTTAGAATGTATTTTAGAGTGAGTGAGAGTGTGAATAGTTTAGGAACTGATTGTGTTGGGGGCCGAAATGATCTAGTTGATAGCCCCTAGAGTCCAACATTGGTGGTTGGACACACAAGACCGAATTGTAAACACTCGGGGTGGCTAGAAATAGTTAGGGGTGGGTGATTCTTGAGGCCTGCCAGTAATTTATTGTAAATTACAAAAGCAATTGCCGGTGGGCTGTGAGAAAGGATACGCTCAACTCTGTACTCGTATATGTGTATACATGTGTGTGCAGATTTGATATAAATCAGTAATCAGTAAGCTCACTGGATAACAGGAGCAGGTTGTCACATTAGTCATAAAACCAATAAATCTGATTTTTCAGACAATGAACTAATCAATTTTTATATCTTTGATTTTCTTAAATATTTAAAATTTTATTACACAATTCCAGTTCCATTTTCACTAATAACACCTCCTTCCAGCAACTCCATTCACTCTAATTACATAATCCATACTCAAACTCCATCTCTTGACCTAATGTCTGCTCCAAGATTTTTAAATATATTTTAATTTGTATCCACTGTTTTTGGTTTGTCATCCAGTGCCTCCAATGTTTTGCATTTGGTAGATCATATTTTTTTCTTTTAAAAATGATGACCATTGTGTTATATCGCAGAGGTACTCCATCATGCGTCAAATATCTATGTGTTAGGTGAGTGTGCTAGCACTATGTTTCTAATTATCATGCTGATGCCCTTGTCTAATTCTTTTGATGCGTCAGGCTCTTACGCCTTTAGCTTTGTCAACAATTTCTCATATAAGTAGTATCTCTAATTAAATGATCACTCCTTGCTTTTTACATGCCTGAGACATGGTTCTGATCTTACAACTCAGGCATGATATGCTCTTCGATAGCTTGATTTCGCCTTTGGTATTACATGATGAACAAAAACAAAAAAAAAAAGCTGCAAACAAATACAAAAACTGAGAGTTTCTGCTTTCAATTAAACTGAATAATAGTGCAGGTGACAGATGAGCCCCAAAAACAAATTCCGGTGTAGACAACTGTGCAGTTTAAAAAAAATTGAATTTCGATCTGGTCTAGGTTACCTGAACAGCTTGTAATACCTGTGCTTTTACCTGATGTTGGCACTCTTGTTCTGGTTTATCAGTTCAGGTAAACCTCTCTGGAAGGCACAATGTATATGACCAGTCTGTATGACTTTTCCAAATTATGTAAGCCACTATACGCACTTCATTATGACAAACCTTTTTTGTTTGACATCGATTGTTGTATGATCGACACTGATAGCATCTAGTAAAGCGACATGTATAGGGTCTAGCCATCTTAAACCTTGCTTCTTATCTGTGCATGCATTGATTAAACTATCATCATGTGATAGGACCATCAACTTGAATGTATAGTATAACGTGTAAATTTGAATACATGTGAATGGAACTATTGGAAGTGATCTTGTCAATCAATTAGCAATTGTTCATATTTGAACTGTTAAATAGGACAAAAAATCAAAATTGACGATGCTTTCCTTATAAAAAAGTTATTAAATTTCGCCTGCCCTCAAGGTCACATTGTTGGAATAAAACAATATAAAACTATCAAGGACTTTGCCAATATAATATTAATATTTATAATAATTAAGAAATGTTTATAACCTTGCTGAGCTGAACCTTCCTGAGCTCTGATCCGGGTCCAATGTTCTGATATGTTCATGAGAACAAGGGGATGGAGCGAGAGCGAGACGCTGCCCATCGTCCCGGACGAAGCCATCACGTTTTTACCATTCTCGTCCACTTCCATTTGAGCGGACATTTCACGAATTGGCCAGACAAATCGTAATTTTTAAAATTAAAAGTTCTTCACTGTTCGGGATTTGTAAAAACAAACCGGTTTTGTTTACGAGTCGGGTTGCCGGATCAAAAATGTATAACCTTGCGTTTGCAACCTTCCGGTACGGTTACAATTTTGAAGGACAGTGTTGTCCGAAGGAATTGAGACCTGATAGGGGGAGGTGGATGATAAAATAAGTCCGTATCTTATCTGATGAAATTTTCTGAAATTGAATTGAATTGAATGAAAATTCAATGAAAATTTCAAGTATCTATTAACAAATTTAATCAACAGTAAGCAAACCATTTTTTACCACCTGTGGCCATATTTCATGCAATTCTGTAATTCTCGTTTCCCAGAACTTCTCAGGTTTTTGAGCAATGAACTCCTCGATTTGTTTTCAGTAGTCCTCAACTGAACTAAAGTTTTTCCCATTGATATTGTCTTGCACAGCCCGGATTTTGTGCAGTATACACTAGAGTAACAGTTCGGTTACGGTGGAAAAAGCTTATAAATAATAAAGCACCCCTTCCAATAGCTTCAGAAGGAAGGTCAACCAAAGGGGAACAAGAAGGGAGACCTCCACAAGCTCAGGCCTCAGGTAGCAAACCTAGCGGGAAAATCAACCTGCACAAATGAAGGGGGAACGTTCAAGTAGTAAGTCAGCTCCAAGAAGACCCCTTTTCAAATCAAGGAAGAAACGAAAGAGCATCAAACTTACAATATAGCCAAAAATAGGCGAGTCTAATGGTAAAGATGATTCCATTCAGGAAAGGAATAAGCGGAATAATTGAGGAAAACATCAGAAAAAAATCCGGAAGAATCAAGGAAAATGGTTGATGAGAGGAAAGCCATCCAATCCAAAGCACTGGAGGCAGAAACATCCTCCAGGAAACTGGACAGAGAACAATCTCTAACTTCGAAAGAACTTAGGCGGGATTAGAAAATCAAAATCACATCCGCCCATTCACGCCAGAACACGTGTGACAATCATAACATGTCTTCAGAAGACCTAACTCATTTAGAAGAAACCCGTAAAGATGGAATTGGAAAAGGATGGGAAGGCAAACTTCAAATTGAATTCACTTTAGACCAGTTGGTAATCGATTGTCAAAATGGTAAAACTGTTGACTGGCTTAAAGAATCCTTATCTAAAAATAAACGATTATAAGAAACTATTGAGTGTTAATTGTTGAATGGCTTGTTCGACTGAAGAAGCTCCTAATTCCTCCCTCTTGTAATGTTATCTAATGGACTCCCCACACCACGAACAATTTTTAATTTGTTTAAAGATGTGAAAATTGAACGGGAAAACTTTTTTTAAAATTGTTATTTGCGAGTTTGAGTTTCTATGTATTCGACTATTTCTACTAGATCTCAGATAACGTTCGCTCCAGAAATTATAGCCAAAATGCAAAACTACTTTCTAAAAGTGGTGAAACATCTAAAATATAGAAAAACTGTGAAAAAGTAGGTGTTTTAAATGGTTTTTAGTTTTCGAGCTACCGGTGGAGGTGTTGCGAGTTTACGTTTGATGTATTCGACTATTTCTATTAAATCTAAGATACCGTTCGCTCCAGAAATTGTACCCAATTGAAGTTCAATTAAAGATCTCACACGCGTTAACAGGCTTTGGTGAAAAGAAAACAAGTTGTGATTCGACAAGACAAAGCACAATCTTTACAAAATTGCTTGAATTCTTTGACAAGTCTGTTTTTTGTCTGGTTTTTGACTGTTAGTCTCTAACTTCGGGGACCTATTAAATGACTAAGCTGGCAGGCTCCTCAGCAATAAATCTCACTTTTAAATAATTAGATAAACTTATAGTTTAAATGGAAACAGTGAGAGAAATGGAATGGCAATGCTAAATAAGTAAAAAATATTGATATGAACCTTTCCAAAACAGTTTATTTCAAGAAAATACCAAAAAAATTGACACCCTCTTCTTAAAAACAACATATTAATAAATGCATTATAAAATCTCACAAAATATGATTGCCCGAAATAAACCAAAAAAGCTTATTTTTTCGTATACGATTTAAAGGTATAAACATGATAAAATGGAATATAAGTAATTGGAGCTTTTGAAACGTTTAAAGCGAATTTCCAATTACAATTCTTTCTGTTTTCATTCCTCTCCGATGTTCTCCTAATGTGATGGAAATATTGCAAAACTCGTGTGATAAAATATAAAATACTCTAAATATCACTTGGATTAATTTTTTTATTTGTGTTTTTATTTGAGATAATATAATTTTAGGTTTTTCTTCCAAAGTCATTTTTTTCGTTTTTCCCGTTGAACACGAATTTTCAGTTCTTGCGTGGATCGATGTGTTTTACTTTGGCTTAGTTCACGAGCTTGCAGGTTTAAATTAGTTTGACTTACGTTTGAATGTCGTTGACAAATGTACAAACCTCCGAGAAGAGGAAAGTTTCGCATAAGACAAAGTCCGCTTTTCCAGGTTCTTGTTCATCATTGGAAGAAATTAGTTTTAAAAGTTGTCAATTTTTTGATTCTCTACCTTTTTTCTTAAACAGAAATCCTCAAAACCCTTCAAAAGGCCGAAACGTGAGTGGTCAAAAAATCTCTAATAAAATTTATTTATTGCTATCTGTGCAAAAAATGTGTTTATGCAATTCATACATATGTACATATAAAATCCGACAGGCCTGACAGACCATGAGGCAGTGGGTACAGAAGCCAGTTAGTTCTCTGTTATTTAGTTGGGATTAGTACAGGGTACAGTCGTGATCAGGAGGGCACGAGGCCATCACCGTTTAAGACAGTATGGAGTAAGTATAAAGATGGGACGGTGAAGAAATTCCTTTGGCTAGTGTGATAGGGTGGAGGCATCACATCCTCTACGATTGAGATATTTTGCTCTCCGTAGTTTGGAGGGGACAGTATTGAAGTAAACGTGAGAGGAAGGATTTTTTTGACGAGAGAAAAGTTATGTAGATTTTTGTGTTAAATTTTATTCATGTCTTTTCACTCCAATATTGATGTAGTGTAAGGTATTGTTTGTTTCGAGTGGAAACGACACGATCAGAGTTGAGAGTACAGTCTGCAAAGGTTCAGGATGGTGGTTTGTGGGTGGCATGGGATGTCACCTGGGCACCCCTCGTTATGTCGAAGTCAGAACGCCACCCTGAGGAAAACCAGCGTGGATACGAAATATGCGGAGTAGGAATTACCTTATCCGCTTAGAAGTAAGTGGATTATCCCTCTTGAAAATCAAGCCCGGGTGCCAAACTCGATCAAAAGCTTGGCTTACGACAAGAAAGGCCTTAGGGCAGTACTGCCTCAACTTAACGGAGGAAATGTCTACGACGCGATGAATGTTGTATAGTAGAGTGGCAGTTACCAAAACCAACTATATGGTCAGGATATTTTAAAAATTTAGGTGGAAAAATTCTTTTTAGTAGGAGCTTTTCGAAAGATTTTCACAAAATGTTTAATAGACTTAAGGCCTTTATGAGGTAATAAAATGTGTTCTTTTTTTGGTTTAGGGAACATTCAGCTATAGGAGTATTTCCAATATTTCAAACAAAATGCTTTACGATATTAAATGTAAATAAACTCATTCCTACCCACTTCCATGAAAAATATTGCACAAACCCTGTAGATAAAACCAAAATTTTCCGAATATCTGCCGTTTTCTAATGTTACAATAGTGTTTAAATAAATTTCAAGGAAGTTGGTCAGCCAGAAGAAAATATTTCCAGGTTCAGAGGATCACAGTGGTGCATAAACTATTTCTCTCGAGTTTTACTTTAAATGATGCAAAATAAACAAAAAAATAACGAGGATTGATGTTGAACTGTTGAACCCTTAAAAAACACTCACTCGTCAAAAACCAGCCTTGCTATTTATTTATTATTTATTCTTTAGCGAGTGTATTTATAGTTCAACATTTTAACACCAACACTGGTTATAAAAAGGAGAAAAAACAAAGGATTTGAAAGTCGGTAATGAGGGGGTGACTGATTTTTGGCTAAAGTAAACAATGAAAACATGTAGGTAGTTATAAGCTAAAAAGGTTCACTAGTTTTCGTGGTCCGCTTGACTAATTAATATCTTTCAATTAATTAAGGTTTTTAGTTGAGATAAAAAAGTCAGTGTTACGAGCGGGATTCGAACCCACGATCTTCGGCTTGAAACGCCGCTACTCCACCACTTGAGCTATCGTGACTTCGATCCATTTGGACACTAATTTCCCATCTCAACCTTTTGATTTTTCCCTCCTTTTTGCTATTTTTCAAATGTCGTGTAATCGGTTTGGATTCTCGACGACAAATGAAATGGCCACGGAGAACTTTAGTGAAGATATACTTCATTTTACTTATTAAATCCATTAGAGTTCGTGATCCGATTGAGCAAAGTCCGCCGCTGAAGTGACCTCGATGGCTGAAGTGGTAGAGCAGCGGCGTATCTAGCCGAAGATCGTGGGTTCGAATCCCGCTCGTGATACTGACTTTTTTTATCTCAACTTAAAACCTTAATTAATTGAAAGTTAAAAAGATTATTGAACGCCCACGCACTTGATATAGTTATGCAAAAATGTAGCAAATACTCTCTATCTCTCTGTTGGTGAATAATGTCAATTTATGGTATTTGGTCAGATAAAACCATACATGTAGATCTAGAAAGTAAAAGAGACCATTTCTACCAGCTTTTCTTTATCAATTTTCAAACACCTTGGTTTTTTCTTTTTTTTAATAAAAAAATTAATATAATTTTGTTAACGTTTTCCGACGGCAAATAGTTGTTGAAATGTGCGAGTGCTAACGGGAATTTTAACATGTGAAACAGGGCGTTTTACTTCCTATCCTACTTAAGCCCCGTGTGATATTTCCTAACGTTGAAACCTGCCATTATGTCACTGACAGGAAAATTATTAATTGGAGAACTGAATAAAATAACAATATAATGTACAAAGAAGTTATTTAGGAGTAGACGTTCGACGTTTATAAAGTCCGTAAAGTTGACATTCAAAGAATATCAACGCTCAACGCACAATCGATACATTGAGCTCTTGGGCTCATTTCCAAAACTGACATCGGAGTCTTGATTGCTTCCTGTCGCGGATAGATTCCATCCCCTTACCCCGATTCGATATTTTTCTAAGATTTTCAACCGGCTTCGCTCTAGGTTTTTCCTGTCCGCGGAAGATTTTTTTTTACAACACTCGCGTTTTGATAAACTAGGATCATCAATCTCTTTCACGGGGGCGTCCACCCTTGTCGGCCACGTGTCAAACTCCAAAGACTTTATCTAATCCCCGAGATATCTCTTAGCCTGCATCCTCTTGACAATTTCATCATAAGATGAAGGGTGCAAGAAAAATAACAAGAAAAATCACAATATGCGAACCTATTATCAGTTTAAGTACTTTCTAAAATTGATTTTAACTAACTCGCTTCAGCTTTGATTATTATGTGACCGTTAATGAAGACCGATAATGATTGTTCGGAAATCGTGAGATGCGGTCTGGTGTGAGGTAGGTTTTAGAAAAACATTTTCGTGCCAACGTTTCGATCTTTATTGAGATCATCTTCAGGGCTCAAAGTGTTTGTTTTCTATGTAGATTTGTCATTATTGTGTGTCGTGACACACGCATCTCACTATCTCCAAATAATATTTGATTATTATGACTTTATGAGATTCGACAAGATATTAAGAAAGTTTTTTTTATTGTTGCGCAATAATCGGCACGTTTAACAAAAATGTTTACATCCCCCAAAATTATTTTTTAAACGTCTAGCTGCGATGAGCACGAAGTTGTAAATGTCAAATCGTTCCACGGAGTCTTCATACCATGAAAAATTATCAATTTATTTACAGATGTAAAAACCGAAGGGGAACAATTTTTATTAAAATTGTAGGTCAATTAGAGATACTTTAAGACGCAAAACCAGGCTTTGAAGAATATAAAACGGGTTTTGAAGTTTTGATTCGACGTAATCTTTAGAAAACGGCTGAAATAGCGTCTTTCACAATCTGGCTTTATTTTTGGCTATTTTTCTATACTTTCGGGTATGCATTAAATGACACTGAAAATATGCCGAACGGATTATCAATTTATGTACTTTCTAAAAATGATTTTAACCAACTCTATTGGTTCGTTTAATATGACTTTATGAGTATCTACAAGGCTGAAGACGACACAAGAACTTTTTATTGTGCAATAATCTGATGTTATTTAAGTTCCACATTTAAAAAAATTCTCGATTGTGTCCTAGGCCTCCCAGGCTCGGGGTTTCCAGCGCTTTGAAACAATTGAATCCCTACAACGCTATTTTATCCGTAAAATGTATCACCTCCCTTCTTTTATTCCTAACTCCATCTACCTCGAGACCTCAGCTGAACTTTTGTTTCAATTTACATTAAAATAAAAACTTCTATAAAAACTATAAACTTACTATGTCTGTAGAGTGCTAAACCTTCCTAGCTACCGCCTTCCTAAGAATACAGCGATGGAAATCATAAGGTCCAAGATTTCACGGTTCTCTTCCTGGAACAACTTGAACAATTTCAGCTGAATGACAATTTTTCCCTGGACAATTTTAAAGAGTGGCCACTTTTACATTCAAAATTGATTAACAATATCCGCACCTCTCACACAGTGAAATGTCTCCTTCATGCTCAAAATACCTCTAGGTTTTTGCTGTATAAGGACCTTAATATCGATCAACCTTTCTTGAACATAGCGTAAATTTCTAAAATTCCGTCTATTCCGCTAGCTCGCTGGTTTTTCAAAATTTGGTGCGAGTTACTTTATCTTAATTATAACCCCACAAGAGTCAATAGTTCCGATAAGTGCTCTCTCTGCAACAGGCAGGCTCGAGAAGATTGTTTTCATTTTCTAGCAGAATGCCCAGTTTTAGCGTTGATAAGAGAGCACCTAATCTCTTTATTAAATAACCCCGAGTCCTTAAATCTAGTAAAGTTTGCAATGGAAGCCTGGAACTACAGGAAAATGCTTTTTTTTTAAATTTCAATTATTAAATGTTTATTGCATATATCAGAGACACCCTGGTTATTTATAAATATGTGCATAAATAGATATGTTGTTATTTTAGTCTACTTATATATTTTTTTCTCTGTTTTGTTTATTCCTTAAGAAGAAATATGTTCTTTGTTTATTAAAAATTTATAGTCCGACTCCGGCAGACGGTTGATAACCATGTGCTTTTTGGTTATGTACAATTTTTTTACTCTCTTTTGTTTATCTAATAAAGTACTTTTTTAATTCATTTACAAAAATTCAAATTCAAAGGCCAGGTATAAAAACGATATTATTGAACTACAATAAAAGAGATTAATAAGAAAAAATTTATTTTTTCACAAGGTTCCAAAACAAATTTCTTCTGTTCGTCGTTTATGTGATAGGTTAATCATTCGATGTACCAACTTGAACTTTTCCTATAACTTTTCACTCTTGTTTTATCAATTTGTTTACTGATGGATAATTTTATAAATTGTAAATTTATATTAGCTCAAAAATAACATGAGTAACTTTATCGAAAATCTATATTTTACAAGACATTACACTTTACAACAATCGAGACACATAAGTAAATACAATAATGATAAACAGCGTTCCATTTATATCATAATTTAATAATGACAATTATAAAATATGTGTTAATCGTTGGGAGGAAAACCAGTGTAATTTACATTTTATTAACAAAAAAAATCAAAGAATGATTTTATTATTATTAAATATCCATGCAATTTTGTCAAACTTAATAAATTTTCTCGTTTTAATGTTTTTTAAATTATCAGACATGATTTACAATTGATTCCTTTTAATAGATAGCATATCACATAAAAGTTTCCTGTTCAAGCTAAGCATCAAATGTTTTGATGATCGTAAGTAAGTCTTGGGATTTTTAAAAGCAGGATACCGCGTTGAAGTAACACCTCCAGTATGTCCGTCCTCCTTTCTGCTGCCCTCTTCTTTGCAAGTCCATCTGAAATTTGTTATTTTTACCAATTGCCCATTAATTTGGGATGCAGTTTAAAATGGCTGTACCTTATCGCTCAATGGTATTCTATTTACGCTGTCCTCGAGGTGGTCTGAATCGACTGCTTTTTGCAACGCAACCATTAGTCTATCCAACAAAACGGCTGCCCTTTTAGGAACTACGACCTGAAAAATAATTTAAGTTCAGATCAATGTAAACTTGGCTATTCAGACATTTAACTTTGTCGGGGGATAAAAACAGACTAAATTCATTTTTAACCTCTGAAGCAAATAAGCCTCGCAAATGAACTAACCCTCTGGGATCGGATTACATTTTTCATCAGGAATTATTTGTCGCACTAATGGATCATAATTTGCGAGATTCAGAGGCTGAATCAGGCAAACTTTTTATTTTATTTTATTTTTAGTAAATCTGGTTTTTATAAAGCTATATGGAGAAGTATACGAAAAGGTTGTCTTATTTAATTTAAATTTCATTCGGTTTTTCAAGGTTTTTTCTTAAAAAGGGCTAGCTTAAAAATTAAATCGTTTAAATCGTTAAAAATGAAATTAGGTTACTAAACACAACGCCTTTCTTACATTACATAACGATTTCATTTTATTTTTTATACAATTAATTAAGGTTTTTAGTTGAGATAAAAAGGTCAATGGATTCGAACCCACGATCTTCGCTTGATACGCCGCTGCTCTACCACTTGAGCTATCGTGACCTCGATCCACTCGAATTTCCCACCTCAATCACACTTTTTGAATTTTCCGTCCTTTTTGCCATTTTTCAAATGTCGTGTATCAATTTGATTCTCGACGACAAATAAAATGACCACGGAGAGCTTTAATGAAGGATACTTCATTTTAAACTTATTAAATTCACTATTTTCGTGGTCCACTTTTTATCTCAACTAAAAACCTTAATTAATTGTATGATATTAATTGGTCAAGCGGACCACGAAACTAGTGATTTATTTTTTATTATTTTAAATATATTTTATTATGCCAAACGAACAATAAAATTTGTTTTACATGCTTTTACATATTAAGAGGAGGGGATAGCCGATTTTTATGAAATAGATCAAAAAATAATAGACTCCTGTCCTAGCTTAAAGTAATTTAAATTATTTTAAATTTGGTTTTCTGCCTTTGTTGTACATATATTTCAAGATTATTATATACGTTAATTATTATTTTAAGATTATTGTATATGTTAACCTATTCGTTTTTTCACAGGATACGAAAATTGAAAGAGTGTAAAAAATGTAAAAAATTAGACATTAATAAAAGGTGACAAATACGAAAAGACAGTTCCAAATAAAGTACGCCGAACATATATATGAGGTAAAGTTGGGATTTAAGTACCATTTAAATCTCTTAAATACGCATCATATCAATAAAACAGAGTTTTTGGGTTGGATTTGTCTGGAGCATTTTTTCAACGATATTCCGCGTTCACTTAAAAATTGCACCTCTGGGTGTTATTAAAATTCAACTTTATTACAAAACTTTATTACAAGATTACACTCTTCTTACGGCCTTTGTCAAGAAAAGGCGTTGATTTTATGTCATTTGAGTGAGAAAAATAATAATGAAATCGAGTAGAACCTCTCAAACGTTTTCATAACTTTGAAACACCATCGATGTACAGGAAACTTTATAGTAGGTGGAGTAACTTTATCTTAAAGCCTTATCGGCAAGTTTTTGTGATTACAAATTAAAACAATTACGATCAAATCAACAAACCTCTTCAAACGATTATTTTATTTCTCCGATTCTAACCTATTTATAGAGGTCAGGTTTTTGCCATTACTATAGTTTGTAGGTTTTTGTGTTCTAAACTCTATTTTCTTATAGTAGATAAAAAACTGAGTTGCTTGATATGTAATAATACAGAAATAAATGTTCATCGTAGAAAGAAAAAAAATTTGTTAAAAGTTATACATTACTTTAAATATTTATTTATCAGCTCCTAGTGGCCATTTACAAGAAACTAGAAACGAAAAATGTAAATAAATTCAAAACAAGTGTATGGAAGCACAGATTATTTTTTTAAGTTGAACGCTAATATTTAAGAATGTTTTGCTATTTTATTTATCCATTGAATTAGTCCTAACAGGAACCCCTTCGCCAGGGTAGGAAGTCAATTCCATAATTCATAGTGGCTATTATAATTTTTTTAAAAATAATTACAAAAATGCTGTAAGTTAATGAAAATTTTAAATTCCGACTATAACAAAATAAAACTAAATACATATAAATAAGACAATAACATACAAAATAAATAATATGAAATGATTATTCGGAAATCGTGAGATGCGGTCTGGTATGACGGAGGTTTTAGAAAAACATTTTCTTTATCGTGTCAACGTTTCGATCTTTATTGAGATCATCTTCAGGGCCTAGGATTTACAAACATTGTTTAAATTTAACAAATACATGTAGGATGTGGAAAAAAGTGAATTTATACGAAAATATTTTTTTATTCAAACAAAGTATTAGAGAAAAGTAGAAATACTTTGATTGAATATAAAAATATTTTTTGCAATGTATAAATTCACTTTTTTCCATACATCCTACATGTATTTGTTAAATTTAAACAATGTTTGTAAATCCCAGGCCCTGAAGATGATCTCAATAAAGACCGAAACGTTGGCACGATAAAGAAAATGTTTTTCTGAAACCTACGTCACACCAGACCGCACTTCACGATTTCCGAATAATCATTTTTGGATTGTTGAAGTCGAAATTGTGTTTGTGTTCAAAATGGTGGGTAGCGAGTGCTGTAGTAATTTTGCTTGGCTTTTTGCAAAAAATATGAAATTACAGATCAAAATTTAAAGTAAAAGTAAATAAGTTAAAATAATAACACATTCTCCCTTAGTTTTTCCAACATTTATAAAGTTACCATTTGAAAACTCGCAGACGATCGCCAAATGGATCACAATTTTTAAACTTATTTAATAGACCGGTTATTCCGGCGACATATTTAGTCGAAGACAAATCTGTTCTGCAAGTTGAAACATAAAACAGCCCATAAAGTTAAGGAGTGTAAAACAAAACTGAAAGAACTTCTGGGGCATTGAAAAGTACGTTAAAAAGCATGCATGCAAATATCAGTAAAGCAACCGATCGGCGTGAATCCAACGAAACTAAATTCAAAACTTTAAGGTCAGCATCATATGATGAGAAATTAAGTCCAGATTTAACGAAAAGATATTTACGAACTTTAAATTTATTAGTTTCATGTCAGCAAATCTTGTACAAGGGGGACCACTACCTAGTATACTCCAGAACACTTCTGACCAAGAACTGGTTTAGAGTTTTAATTGCGAAGATATTTGTAAAGACAGATGTCATTATTTTTGCAAATCCAAGATTCCTATTTATTCTATAATTTAAAAAAAAATTAAAAATTTCTTCTATTCTAATAATGTAAAACTAGTGGTCCTTAAAGGTGCAATTATTGTTTAAGACAACCCCTAGAACTAGAATCGTATCTACCTAGAAGAGTATCTTCATTGGAATAAGACAAAGGATGCAGACACGAAAAAGAACCTGCTTAGAGAGGAGAAACAAATGTAGTGGCATTTATCTATGTTAGTCGTCGTGAGCTTATTAAGACTGCGCCAATCGCAGAAAGCACGGTGTCCTTCTGCAATAAAAATCATCTTCAAACGTCGTCTATTAATAATGTAGGAATAGTGGTTTTCGAAGGTGTAATTGTTGTTAAAGACAACTCCTAGATATAGAATTGTAATATCCCCATCCATTTGAATCTTTAACTGCCGGCACTTTTCCTAAGGTCGTATTAGTTAAAATTCCCTGACACCTTTTAAACTTCTTTTTACCTAAACTAAATATTAATCTTATTAAATCCCTTCAATTTTTTTAAATTGTCATATTGGAAAACGTCAGTGGTTATTAATGTACCGACTTGTGGACAGTATTCCGAAACTGTGGCAAAGGTCGTTCCACTCGACTTAATTAAGTAAGCGGAGACTTGACCTATAGCCGATCATACATCACAATATAGCGGGTCACGTTCTACTCCACAGAATTCCATTCTAAAGATCGATTAAGTTTAATGGCCAGCTGAAAACTGTTACGGCCGATTTTTGTAAATTTTCGACTTTTTGATCATTTTTTGTACTCTATTTTTTTTATAATTTGATCTTTTTACAACTACATGTAAAAATGTTGGACATACATTCACAAACACTAAAAGCATACAAACTTGACTTTAGATGCCCTTATTTTTCTTAGCAATTGTAAATTGTCTCTAACAATTCTGTGGGATCACGATCGCCTAGAAGTTGACAATCTTAGGCTCTTCTATCAGCCATGATGAGGCTTAAGATGACTTAAAGTTAATCTCGTGATAAGCTCATAAGTGTGAAGTCAACGTCAGATCACAAGAGTGCCGACAATTACACGTACAGTTAGTTGCGTGGCCATATGCTCCTCAGTATCCCATAAAGGTATAGTCCTTCAGGATTTTGTACCTGACGTTACAGTCAGTCCTTTTCGTCTCGTATGTGGGTTCTGTATAAGCCTTTTGTCCAGATGTAACATGATAATTGGAATCTATTGTAGCTGGGCTAGGTTTGTGACCTATGTTTAGGTATGGGTGGATGTGGGTGAGAGTACTATAGTGGGACTAGGGTTTTATCGGGTTGTCCGGAAAATAATGCAGGATTTTAAGTTTTCATTAAAAAAAATCTATATAAAATATTCTGTTTACGTTTACAGGATTACTCATTNGTATGGGAAATTATTTTGATTAAAGAACATTGCTTTAAAGTAACTAGTTTCTTTTTTTTTGTTTAATACCAAAATCCTGCATTATTTTCCGGACAACCCAATAGATGCCCATTTGGAAAAGATTGTAGTTCATGATATCGTACTATATTCGCTGAATGTCTGGGGTGCGGCAGTGAAAGTAAGGAGCTCATGAGGTTAAGATTTGATTATTTGAATAGTGGATCTTGATTTTCCATTCCTCGGAGCCAGGGTTTTAGGATGTGACAATCGTACTAGACTGGGCTGATAGGTACAAGTGACAATAACGGAATTATGTGTTGGTAATGAAACAAGATAAGGACACCCAAAATAACTCCAGCTAAAATTAATATAAGTAGAAATGTCTTGGATGATTTGGAACCATCTTTTGTGGGATAGGATTGAGGATAAGTTTTGCAAAACTAGAGATACATAAATTTCCAGGGCAAGCCTTATCTGAATTTTGTTTAAGTAGAAGTGAGGTTCAAAATTGACACGAAAATGTTGATTAATTTAGCAGTCTTAACTTGCTACTGGCATAAATCCGTTATTGTGAAATCGGCAAGCTGAAGCATCAGAAATGGTTAATTTATTATTCCATCGTTTTGTCGGAATGAATTGAATTCGACATGTGAACGAAAGCCGCGATCTTCTGCCAAGCCCGGAGGATCTGCATAAACCGAAATAATTGACAAAGTTTCTGAGGGTGATAATACCTCTTCCATCAACAGGGACAATGTCTCTATCCGAGGCAAAGTACAATTGCTCTGTTTGTCGCTATTAGATCCTTTCTAATTCCGTCATATCCGACGCCCAACTTCCTGGGCGAACGTCAGTATTTGTTTTTCTTTTCATTAGCCCAACTTGTTTATATTCCGTTTTCCCGTTGGTGGACTTATTGAAGCCCGCCGGTAAGTCACGTACAGGAGTGATTTGTCTTCCGGCCATCTTTAACGGAGTTAATGATTGTAACGAGTGCCAGTTTCAGTAAATAAGCGACACGTGATTCGACACTCAATGGACAAATTGTGCTCTTTTAATAGGTCTACGTTTATAAGTTGTACGCTTTTAGACTTTACAACAATCTCAGTGTAATCGTCTCTTTACTGAAGCGAGTCAACAAGTTGTTTTGTTAAAACAACAGGTAGAAAATGCTAAGCTATGCCTTGTCTAATTGTTCTTAGTATTTTTCTCGAAAAAAGTTATGTTCATGTTAACTGAGTATTTCAGGAATCTGATGAAAATGGTTGTGAATTTATAATTTAATGTACGCAGTGTTTTGCCGATAACTATAATTATACCTATTTAAATTTTATTGGCTATTCACAAAAGGAGGTCGGGCATAATATCTTACAACACATTTTTATTAATTTCTTACCATTAAATTGGAATTTTTTTAAAAGTCCATCTTCCTCTCTGTTATATAAAAAACAATTCATTACAGTTCGTAGTTCGATTGACCAATTAACATTTTTCAATTAATTAATATTTATGAAAGGTATTGGTTGAGATGGCAAGTTGGTGTCCGAGCGGATCGAAGTCACGAGAGCTCAAGTGGTATAGTAGCGGCGTATTTAGTCGAAGGTCGTGGGTTCGAATCCCGCCGTGACACTGACTTTTTTATCTCAACCAATACCTTTCATAAATATTAATTAATTGGAAAATGTTAATTGGTCAATCGGACCACGAACTGTAAAGGATTTAATAATTAAACTGAAGTATATCTTCACGAAAGCTCTCCGTGGCCATTTCATTTTCGCCGAGAATCAAATCCAATCACACGACATTTGAAAAATGGCAAAAAGGAGGGAAAATTCGAGAGGTGAGGTTGAGATGGGAAGTTGGTGTCGGAGCGGATCGAAGTCACGATACCTCAAGTGGTAGAGTAGCGGCGAATTTAACCGAAGGTCGTGGGTTCGAATCCCGCCGTGACACTGACTTTTTTATCTCAACCAATACCTTTCACAAATATTAATTAATTGATAAAAAACAATATCGTTTTATTCTTTTATCATTCCTGTTAATGATCAAAAATGACAAAAATGAAATGCGTTTTTTCTAACTTTTTGCTATAAGTTTGTCATTTTTTGACCAATTTAAAATCAGATTGCACCATTGTTTCTAGAGTAAAAAATCCGTTAAAATCATGCATCAAAATGTATAGGGCCTTATTTCAAATGTTGAAGTTGAACTAGGCCTGATGTATCCCATAAAATTTTTCTCCAAAAAAAAAAAAAGGTAAAAATTCTAAACAAGACTAAACAATATTAAACACGTATTTTTTATTTTTTTGATAGCGTCATTGGTTCATGAGAAATTCGGCCATCTAAAATGAACACGTATTTTATTTTATAATAATCATAGGTACGTGAAAACAGGTATTAATATTATTTATTTAGAAATCGTGAGATGCGGTCTGGTGTGATGTAGGTTTCAGAAAAACATTTTCTTTATCGTGCCAACGTTTCGATCTTTATTGAGATCATCTNAAAGAAAATGTTTTTCTGAAACCTACATCACACCAGACCGCATCTCACGATTTCTAAATAAATATCGATTAACGGTCACTAATCACCACACATTAATATTATTCTTATGATTCTTCCTTCTTGAAGGTGGGATAATAGGTCATCTCAGAGATGACCTATTATCCCACCTTCAAGAAGGAAGAATCATAAGATTAACTGTTGAGGTCAAAATATAAGAAAACATCATTAATATTATTGTTTATTGAAAGGGTGTTTTTGTACTTACAGGGTACTCGTCGTATGAAACTCCCATTTGTTGGTAGTCGGTGTACTTAGGAGCAGGGCTCGCAGAGGCTGGCACGAGCACTGTAAGCACCATCACCAGCCACCAACAAATCAAACAACTGAAAACAAAAATCAACGTTAATTTGAGTCGATTCGTAATTTTAGATGTCGTGGAATAAAGTCATAAAACCTCGAAAGATCAAACCGTCTAAGTAACCTACGAGAGAATTAAATCCCTTTGTGAGCCATTTTTGTCTAATGAAAATGAAGCCAACTAAAAGTTCAAAGCTGAATTTGCGGGTTAGAACCATTCTGGTTTCTATTGTGGCAATACCATACTAAAACGTAAAAAAACTCCCTCTTCCGAGTAAATTATTATAAGAGAACAGTAAATTTGATAAGTAATAATTCGTTGATATATGTTATCCCTTAACAGATGAAAATATAAACATAAGTTATCAGCAGCTATTTAGTATTTCATACGGTACCATTTACCTTCTATTGGAAGATCGCCCTAATTTTTGATATGATTGGAATAGTTAATCGTACAGGATATGATTGTAATTAAAGGTCATCAATGGTGTACCTTTCCTAATAATAAATATGATACGATAATGATTTATGTAATAACAGTCAATCTCATGGGGCGTTTGTGACCGCACTGTAAGGTAAAGGTCCCGGGTTCGAATCCAGCGGCTTACTTATACTTTCAAATGTTTTTTTTTTCAAAAACACCGGCACCCTGAGGGTTTATATGACCTCTGCTGTTGCGAACCCTCGTTACAAAAAAAAAAAAAAAAAAAAAAAAACCAGTGTCAATCTCGTCGTCGATACATCAAAGGTAGTTGGGCATCTTATTACCTGGACCAGGTCATAAAAATGATAAAAAGCATGTGAGAAAAAATAGTAAAATAACGACAAGAAATATAAATTGTTCGATAAAGCAAATTATGCGCTGTTATAGAAAAAAAACTGTTAGTGGGCTAGTGGAGAAAAAATCGAAATAGATAAAACTAATAATAATTATGAAAACCAATGCACGTATGTACGTCATATATGAAACAATAAGTAGCTAACAAATGGAAAATAATTAAATTAAATTACGTCAAACTTGATTCATACAATTGAAATATTTATTAAATTTCTCTATTCTCGCTTCATCATAATTTACCTTAATAAAAGGTTTTTGGTTAAAAAGTCAAAACTTTTCACAAAATGTTTTAGGAAGTGGCTTCCTTCTAAGAAAGCGGACTGGGCGAATGGCTTTGATTTATTATGATGCTAAGAAAGGAAAAACTTTCTCGGAAGAGGGTGTGGATCATACAAGGCCTTTTGTTCTACACCCACCTTTCATGGTAGAGGTTTAGTATGTTAATGTTTTATGATGTGCCAATAGATGTCGGGTTATTTCTCGTTAGCGGAAATTTTTTATTTCTGGATATGAAAATAAGTAGACTGATTAATAACGTTAGCGGAAATTGTTTATTTCTGGATATGAAAATAAGTAGACTGATTAATAACGTTAGCGGAAATCGTTTATTTCTGGATATGAAAATAAGCAGACTGCTTAATTGCAATTGTCGTACGTTTGGTTGTTTGTCCTTACTCCCCATCGGAAACAAAATAAAATTAATTAAAAAACGATTAAATATTGTTTTATATATGTACACAATTATTCTCTCTCTCTTTATCTGTCTATCTATCTTTCTATTTGTCTATACCTATCTATCTGTTTATCTAAAATCTCTCTTTCTCTCTCTGTCCTCTCTCTTTCTGTACTCTCTCACACTCATTCTTTTTCCTTCCTTTTTGTCATTTCTATCTTTCGCTTCCTGCACTACCTCCCTCCTCCCAACTCACTCACACATACACTCTCACTTTCTCCCTCTATCCTTAAAACTCTCTCTGCTTACTCTTTTCCTATCTTTCAATCACTGCTCTCTCTCTCTCTCTCTCACTCTCTATTCTCTATTTAACTAAAATCTATCTCTAATTACTCTTTTCCAATCTTTCATTCTCTTCTCTCTCTCTCTCTCTCTCTCTCTCTATTTTTCTGTCTCTATCTTACTATTTACCATATTTTCCTCTTCCCTCACCTCTTCTTTTTCTCTCAGTATTCTCTAACTAGCTTTTTTTTTTCTATTTCTCCTTTCGCTCTATTTATCACCGGCACTATCTTTATAATTTTGCCATTGTCTCTATCTTACTATTTACCATCTTTTCCTCTTCCCTCACCTCTTCTCTTTCTCTCAGTATTCTCTAACTATCTTTTTTTTCTATTTCTCCTTTCGCTCTATTTATCACTGGCACTATCTTTATAATTTTGCCATTGTCTCTATCTTTATCTTTTCTCTCCTCCACTATCTCTCACCCTTCGCGTTCTCTCTCCCTCTCATACACTCATTACATCTCTTATAAACTTTATAAAACGCTTTATACCAAGTAAATCCTCGTAAAGTTTTAATAACCTTTCCATCGAGATCAAGCATTTACCTCTTTTGTTCGGAATCATTCATTAACAGAAATTTGCCAACGGAAATAAATAATTAAAACGACAGCCGTCGTAAAAAAAGAATAAATTTTCTTCTTGTATATGATGCCGTTGATTAGCTTTCCTTCCGGTGTAAAAGCTGTTTATTTTCAAAGCACCGCTGTGAATCTGGCCCTAAATGAGTTACGGAAGTTAACGTTCATCTTAGTAAGGTCTGGTGGTAGATTTTCATCATAATATAACAGGAAACAGTTTAATTATATCAAAAGTCCTAAACCAGGAAAACAAAGGCTCACGACACTGAAAGCCAGTTGTCCACTGGTATGACTCAATGAGATGTAGACATTTTGCTTGAAAGAATACACAAAATGGCAAAATCAAGAAAGTGAATAACATGTGATGGTCGAAAGGTAAGGGTTAACTTACAAACGGGCTTTTTTTTGTCAAAAACAGACCTGAGATGTGACGTGGCATTTTTTTTATCGTTTAATAAACACATTCATTCTAAACCAATCAGAGTATTTCAGTTTCAATATTTTTGTATTATTATTGTAACATGGTTTTATATGACAGAACTTTTTACGAGACAATTTGAGTTGGTTTTGTTGGATGATTGGTACAAAACTAACTTCGAAAAATGGGAACACCAAGCATTTTATATTCATTATCGAAAGGCAAATGGCATTAATAAAGAAGGGCACAGTGGAAAAACGATGAGGGTCCATTTTTTGTCAGAATCGAGATTTCACCGGCATCTGTTAGCTTGTGACATTAACTATTAACTCGCCATATGTGGCTAAGGAAAACCAATTAGATTCCACTAAAAATCGCTTGAAAATGGGCGGCACAGTGGAAGAACGATGAGGATCCATCCCTCCGACATTTAAAAATTCTTCAGCAGTCAGAACGCTTATAATTTTTTGTGACTCATGTGCAGAGCAAAATAAAAATTATACAGTTCTGCGATTCCTTCACCATCTCGCAACAGAAAAAGGGAAAATGTATTGTATGAAAGTTTTCTTTCCCATAGGTCATAGCTATCTGGAGTGCGATAGAGATATGAGCATGATTAATCAAAAATCCTATGTAGATATGCATCAAGAATGGAGGGATGTGATTGGTCCGAGCAGATGCAAACCCTAACCGTTCACTGTTATCGATTGTATGAGGGAATTTTTCAAATCGTGGACGAATTACTTAGTACCGATGTACAAACCGAAATGACCCATACCCACAAGAGCGATGTTTGAAGTTATCTCTTACACACCACAGTATATACACCACCGCACTTCATTCTGTGGAGCTTATAATAAAACCAACGTGTTGTGGGTGCCACAATGGCAAAAAAGGGGAAGAACCCCGCACCAAAACAGCAGCTTGGTAACTCCTACGATGGGCCCCTTATTAATTTGGATAAATATAATGACTTGCAACACTTTACAACGTTCCTCACTAACGAAGTTGCCAGGATGTTTTACAATAATTTGGTCACAGATAGAACTGCCACAGAAACTCAGGGTGATGTTTATTTTGATTATGAGATAGATGATAAGTAACGTAAAACTTTTTAGCTTAGAGCTTTTTAATTATTTTCAGTTTTGTTTTTATAATAATTAATCTAAAATTTTGACCATAGATATCATTTCAGAATTTTCGTTTCACTTGTCTGTTCATCTTTTAAATTAATAATAACATTTCGTAATCATGATATTTTCTTATTCGTTCCTGGTTTCGAAATGAGGGTTTAATGGTTTTTGGATCATGAGAATTACTCAGAAAGAACTCTAAATGTTATTACAATTATTGAATCAAACATCAAAAAAGAAACTATTTCACCAGTAGTCTGAAACTTTAAATTTAGTGTTTCTAAAATGTTGAAAAAATGGAACCTCATCATTGTTCCACTGGACTCTTCTTATCTTGTTATATTTTTTATGTTACGTATATCTTAATAGCATAAAGCTCTTTGTTTTATATTTCCATTTTCTTTAACCTTGCTTAATGGAGGTTTGTATATTTTCTTGTGTCGAGAAGTTAGTACCTATTTTTTAAAGTTACGCGTTACGTAATAATACCAAAAATCCTGGAAGTGTACGTGGAGTTGTTCTATATTATATTGTATTATATTAACTCCCCATTATATATATATATATATATATATATATATATATATATACATATGTATTGTAAAATTACTGAAAATTATCTATCTATTCAATATCGAGAATTTGATTTGATTGACAAGTGGGATGGGATTTTTGATGGTTTATCTTGAAAACTCAATATGGATGAGATCAAAGGGAGCGGGTAGAAGTTAAGGTGTTGGAATGTAATGGATAATCAGCTGTAAAGGAGGAGAAAAGTAAGGGAGAAAACGTGGTTCCCTGAGGGACTAAAATGCCAGCTAAAATGGAATAAATAAAATACTCAATGATGAACTGGTATATTGCCTATTTTGTAGTATTTACTTTCCGTAGCATATTTATTTTATTTTTATTATAAATTGCGCTTATGTCTCGCTTGTGGCACTAACTTTTCCATTTCAACCAAGACCATAAAAAGAATAATTAATTGAAATAATTATAAATTGCATTAAAATTTATTAGAAATTACTATATTTTTTTCTGC